AACCTAAGATAAGAGGCACTGGAGAACAGACAAGCCTCTGGAAAGCAATATTAAACTTGAGCAGGGTCTAAGAAAGGTTTCTGTAGTTGAATCAAGTTAAATTTGGTTCCAAAGGTCTGTTGACCCTCCTAAACGTACTCACGCATCCGGATATTGGACTGAATCCCAGTAGATCTGTCCTTGAGGATCCTCTAAGGACAGACTTTTGTGCAAAAAAAGAAAGGAATGATGAATTATCACATAGATGATGCTGGCCAGGTGTTCATCATTAGAAGACAGAGTAAGACAGGCCATAAACAAGATAAGGCGTCCACAGCGTCAGGAGAAATGTGGATGGTTGTGCTTAATTATCTTTAAATCTCAGGGCCTGGGACATGGCAGGTTTTCACTGAGGTTTGCTGAATGAATGGATTTCTCTGGAGAAGTCTCATGACTGGAAAAAGCCTCACCAGTCACGCTTCATATATCTGGGTTGGAAGAGTGTTGGTGGCACTCTTGTAAGTGTAAACAAGGCTTCCTGTAAGAGCTTTTGACATCAAGCTGACCAGAAACATGCCACATCCATATCACCAGCTGGATTAAAACTAAGGAAAGGCTCAGTAGCATGTTTAATGGTTAAGAATTAGGGTTTTTTTGGGTTATGCTGGTGACTTTCCAGCAGTACCTGATTTAACCACCGTCTTTTCCATAGCAATACTCTCAAACACACAATAAGACTTAAAGTTGCACCAGTCTGGAAGGAATGACTTCCATGAATAATTTGCAGATTTGTGGGAGAAATTCTCTCTGACCACAGCATTGATGGGATGAAGTTGAGAAATGACTTACTTTGACCTCAAAAATAGAGCCACAGCTCAAGGCTGGAATGTTCACCTGGGTGCCAGAATGTCTGGTTTCCCATTACTTGAGAGCAGCCTTCTGGAGTAGGCAGGCTCACTTCCCACGGTTCCCACTGTCCATCCTGGCTCTCTTTCTCCATCCATTTGGTAACTAGTGCTCCCAATCATGCACCATGCTGGAAAGCTAAGTTGACAGTGGGAAGGGCACAGGAAGAAGGGCTTTAGACACATAGCACTCTAGGCAAAAATGTTTAATTGGTGTTAGATATTGGAAATTTTCTCTTTGAATTATTTTCATTTGCTACTGTTAAGAGCTAATAGTATTTAATGCTTAAATCTAAATAAGGAGCACAGGAAGAAGGATAGCTGAGTATAATACCCAGTCTCTAAAGGAAATGGAACCAGATGGCTTCTTGGTGAATAGTAGGTGTTATGGAGTGAATTGTGTTTCCCCCAATTCAAATGCTGAAGCCCTGACCCCCAATGTGATGGCATATGGAGATGGGACCTTTGGGAAGTAATTAAGGTTTGGATGAGGTCATGAAGATGAGGATGGGGCCCTCATGATGAGATTAGTGTCCTTATAAGAAGAGACACCAGAAAGCTTCCTCCATCTTTTCCCACTACACAAGGACATAAGAAATGTGGCCATCTGCAAGCTAGTAAGAGAGTCCTCATCATGAAAAAGAATCAGCCAGAACCTTGATCTTGGACCTCCCAGCTTCCAGAACTATGAGAAATAAATTCCTATTATTTCAGCTGCACAGTCTGTGGTATTTTGCTATGGAAGCCTCAGCAGACTAAGACATTAGGGCTCAAAACTCTCAAGGGAAGTCTGATGACAGGGAACATTTGCATCATATAACTTCTGTTTTCTGTGGTTCTGATCCTCTGTTCAATCAGGCATCACTCTGGAGGTGGGTAAGAGGGAATGAACAGGGCTCTCTACTCCTCAGCAGTTCCATTTCCATTGTAAGAAAGTTCAAGTGTTCTAGGGTTTATACATCAGTCTCATGGACTTGGTCAGCCTAGGTCTTCCCCCACATATTGAAACATTCACCAAGGGAATGAAAATCCCTGTGTGAGGCCTTCTGGGCTGGCCAGTTTTCCTTCTCTGTTAGTGTCCTGACTACTTTAAAAGAGTGAGAGAACCATGCTGTGCTCACTCCTTCAGCTACCATTCCAGTTATGCCCAAAGGTGGACTGTACTCCAGCCAGTGATGATGATGCTGGCAATGACAATAAAAGGTAGACATTAGCAATACTTTTGTGCCTGGCAATTCATTTTAAACCAATGTAACTAAGACAAACAAATCTGGGACCAAGGAAGCCTTTCTGAAGAAGATAATGTGTCATCATCTACGTTTTGAAAAATGGATGAGAACAATTCCTGGGCAGAGACATAGGCAAAGATTTAGAAGTTGGACCTGGCAAAGTGGATTCTGGGGACTCAGTTTGACAGGGTTGAGGCCAAATGGAGCATCAGCTTTGGCAAGAGGGGGAGCAGACAGTGGGTTTTGCTGGAGAGGTGATGGGCAGGATGCCCAGGGAAGGAGCCAGCAAGGTGCAGGTGTGGCAGCAACACCCTCTTCCACATTCTACAGATTGCACCAGATTCTTTCTGGGCACCTTCCCTCCACGGATATGGTTGTCACTTGATTGTCTGTTGGTGGTGGTACCAGGAAAAGGTTGAGCCCAATGGAACTGGCCTATGATTAAAGCAAAAAAAAAAAAATCCCATTCTGCACACTGGGTTAAAGTAGACCCTATGCTTTTCAAATTACAGGAAAAGAGGTGATATGGTGAGGGGAAAGGGGAAAGGTTGGAGAAGTAAGATTAGTTGAATGCCAACATGAACTGAGCCCCATGGTGGTTGTATTATACACATTCTATCATTTGATTCTTGGAACCCCAGCAGTTTCAACACCTACTTATTGATGAAGAGGTTTAGAGAAGTTATGGGTATCCTTGTCCAAGAAAGGAAATGGTCAAAATTGGATTTGAACAAGGATTTGACTCACTCAATTGTCTCAGGCTATTAAATACCTCAACCGGTCATAGTTGACATTCTTATTTGGTAAATCAGTGTTCTGTGTGGGTGCAGGTGAGTAATTTAACCTCTCTGAGCCCCTCAGTTTCTGAATCTGTAGATCTGGCTTATTTTTTTGTACTCATTCACCTCATTCTTCCTTTTGGAATCTAGTAGAAATCTAATTTTTTTGAGCCATGACAATCATTTAAAAATATGAAAATAGTGCACTTCCTCTTAATATTCTCATTTTCAGGCTAAAAATTCTTCTAATTGCATATTTCCACTTGTTTTTTGATTTCCTGAAGTCAATCACATGTTTATCCCTAAAAGTTAATGATAGTTCAGATTGCATCAAAAGAAGTACAGTATCTGAATTAAAGGAGGGGAAAAGTACCTCTGGAGTCACACAGATTCAGCTGTGAGACAATGAGGTGTAGGGGAACCAGATGAATGAGTGTGTATTAGAAAAGCATCTTTCATAGTATCAGTCTTGTTGACCAAAGAAAGTAGAAGTAAAATGGGTTTCTCTTTGTTCCTTTAATGCCAACACAGGAAGCTTTCTCCAGAGTCCCCTTCAAAATGATATTCTGAGAGGGCACATGAAATATCACACTGAAATCCTGGGCAACTTCGAGGCTATATAGGGATATAGCTGAGGGGTTGGGAAAATATGTGGTGGGGTGAATGGAGAGGCTCTAAATCCTGATGGAAGATGCAGAGCGTTCCATGAGCTCTCATTCAACTGTTGGCAGCAGGTCTTTTAGCTGCAAAATGGTTGATCAAGAATATCAAGTGTCCATTGGGGTGTGAACCAGGTTCTATTATTAGTTGGACATGACCTTAAGCAAAGCCTTTTCCTTCTCTGGACCTGTTTCCTCATTTGCCAAGTGAAAACATTGGGTTAGAATCTGAGAAGGTCAATTGGTTTCATCATGAAAACATGTCAACTATATGAAGCATCATGCAGATTTGTGAGTGATTAGCAATGTTAGAACAGAAGTGACAGAAATCAAAATTGAACAACAATAAATAAAAAGAATACATTGACTCATTAGCAGGGGTGCCTGTAGGAAGAACTGCCTTAGGCAAAGCTACAGCCAAGGGCACACATGATGTTTTAGGGCTCTTCTTGCTCCATCCTTTGGCTCTGTCTGACATTGGTGGGCTTCAGTTTTCATGCAGGCTCTTTTTATTGGGTGGGCAATATGACTGCTGGTGTCCCAGATACTCCTATGCTTCCATCTTAGCTATCTCCAGGGAAATAGACAATCTTTCCAGTTTACTTTGATAGACAGATCCTGGATGATTTCTGATTGGCTAGGTTTGGGTAATTCATCCATATCCAAACCAATCAGTGCATCCAGAAGAAAGGGTGTTTTGATTGAATAGTCCTGGGTCACATGTCTCAGTCTTGGACTAGGGGGTAAAGCGCTATGATTAACAGCCCCACCTAGGCCTCCTAGACATTCTTTCTTTCAAAAGAAAACTAAGGAGCTCATCGCAGCAGAAGGGGTTAGGAAAGCCATTTGGGTAGAATAAACCCTGTAGCTAGGCATTAACACCAGCTATATGCATGGGAGGCAAATTGGCATCAGACAGGCCACACATTCTCCATCACAGGATTAGGTAAGGTCCTTACAACTCTTAGATTCTACTTTTATGACTAAATAGCTCAGAAAAAATGGCACTGCCTTGAAATTCAAGAAGCTATGCATTATACTTTCAGCATGAATACTATAAGCAAATGAATGGCAAGACTGTCCAATGTTCTTCTACACTCTTGGCCTCAGTTTATTCTTTCTTAAAGTAAAGGTGTTGTTCTTGTCACCAGACATCTTTTCAAAGTTCCCTTCCTCTCTGACATTCCAATCCCTTCCAGCAAGAGTCCCCTAGAATTTCACCCCACCTGGCCCTGAGCCAAGCCCGGGCAGGGCCAGTGGGACTCAGCACCTGTGTCTATTCAGAGGGGGCCATCTCTGAGGCTGAGCTGGCTTGCTGTGTTCAGCCAGCAGGAGTCTGGGGCGAGCTCTCTGAACTCCAGTGGGCTTCTATCTTTGCCATGTTGGTTGTATCTTTTAGTTGGATGCCAACTTTGTTTTCTGTTTTCACTGAAAGAACAATTCATCCCATACATTTGAAAGGAGAGCGTACTTTAATAACCTATTGAACCCGGTGTTAATGAAGCCCTGGACCCCTCCCCATGAAACTTTAAGGTGAATCACTCTGCATGTTCACCCTGAAGACACACATTTGCAAATGGCACAGAGAGAAGGAATCTTCTGGGCTCCAGCCTCATCCAGGCTGATTTCTTTGTTTTAAGCCTTGCTCTCTCCTTCATTCCATTATTTGATCAGAGTGTTTCACCCATTGCAATCATTCCCTAGTTGTTGCTGGATGATTTACTGAGTGACATCTGGGTCCTGACTCCTCATTCCTCTGAAGAATGTGGTTTTGATGAGTAAACAACAATTGCAGCTTGTTTTCTCTACTCCTGTGGGACTTGGGGTTATTGGAGTTTAGAGGTGCACCAAGACTACATAAACACCCTGGATTTATAGCCATGATTGGCGGCTCTTGCTTTGTTAGCTCATAGCACGTGCTGGGTGTAATGGTCTGATTTGGGATTGGGCAGAGGTGCCTGGGCTGCCTCAACCCAAACACCTGTATGAGATAAAGTTCAACTGGAGAGGGAGGTGGTTACTCATCCTCCTGGCTCAGCACACAATGACTTCATGACTGGGACATCAGCCCCAAGGCTTGGCCAAAGCACCGTGCAGGAGAGCAATCAATATTTCAGTCCTTGCTAAAGCTGCCAGCAGAAACTGAAAGAGAAGCAAGGGAAGTGGACATTTTCTAAGTGCCTAACTCCAAATCTTGTTCCAATTTACAATGTTCTAGGAAAGTTGCAGACATCCTGATTCTATTAAAGAGAAGGAAACTAAGGTCAGAGAAGTGAAGCCCTTGTGTGGTATCTACACAGCTGGTAAATATCAGACCCCTTCCTGTCTCTGGTCATCTCCCAAGGCTGCACCTACAACTCAGAGGGCAGATGATTAGGGACCAGGCTGAAAAGAGGAGACCATGCGGATCCTCCAGCCAGCCTGAAACCACTGCTGGCTTGGAAGGCTATCACTCCAATTCCTGAGTTCTGTTAAACCTCTGAAAACTGAAACAATTAGGCATCCTGAGAATGTGGCTTGGTGGGGTGGAAGGGAGGCTTGCCTCCTCAACTGCAGGAAGGAAGGCGCCGTTCTTCAGACAACCCAGAGTCTTGCTCTTTCCTCTTCACACCAACAGGAGGCAGCAGGAAGCAGTAAACTTGATGTTTAGTCTTCATTCACCAGGAAAGCTCATGTTCATTCCACTTCTTGGTTTTGTGAGTTGGGCAAGCTCATTCACTTCTCTGGGCCCCGGTTTTCTCATCTAACTGGGAATGATAATCCCTAACCCACAAAAATTCCTTACATAGTTTTGATATGATAATGAGATCGTTGATTTTATTTTAATATCTTCTCAAGTCCATGGTCTTTTATGCAAATTAAGGTGGGCTATGAAAAAGCACATAAAAATAAGAGATGATTGTTATAAAATTTTACCCTATAGTTGTTCTGAGAAAACACTTTTTTTAAAAAAATTGGAATTATCAAAAAATTTGGAACTATAATTGGGTTGTGAGTGATATTCATTTACTTGAGAAATACCTAATGGTTATCTTTTATATGTAAAGATACTTTGGACACAATTCCTGCTCTCATTCAAGTGGGAGAGGTAGGCTTTGACCCCTTGAGTTTAAACACATGTGCATGAGTGCACCTTAAATTATTTAAGTTTAATTATGGTAAGTACTAAAAAGAAAGAATGACTAACCTAAGAACATAGAATTGGGAGACCCAACCCAAATTGGTAGACTTGGGGAAAGTAATGTTTAAATTATATCTGAAAAATGTGTGGGGTTAGGTAGGTAAAAGGTAAGAGGAAAAACAATTCCAGGCTTTGGGAATAGCAGGTGCAAAGGCCCTGAGTTGCAAGGGTAACAAGGAAGGTCAGTGTATACAGATGTGGAATATTCATGGCTTTTCTATCTGTGAGGAAAAGCAATCACTGAAATATTAGGTAGATTGAAAGTGTAGAATTTCATTTTTTAGTACTCATTCCAGTTCTAAATCAACATGGCCAGCTTTAGGATCATAAAAATGTACTTGGTGTAATTTTCTATGTTCGTATGATGATAATATTTGGTGTAAGAATAATGATAGTGGAAAAATTCATTTCAGAAACAATGATTTAAAAACTATATCCACAAACTTGAGTTTGCTTCTTTAATTTTCCATTTCTCCTGTTGATATCTGACCTTGACATCATGACTTGGTCCCAATGTATTTTTGTAGACTTGTTTCCATTCGTCTCTCTCTTGCACTGCTTTCTGTTCTACAATCAGCCTCCCCCCTGTTCCTCCTAAGCCCTGCCCCTCCCTGCTCTCACACATTGGCTCTAACCACTCTCCCAGCTCTCTTGTTTGTCTCCTCCTCCTGAAGAAGATCCCAGTCATCCTTCAGACCCACGTGGTGAAGCAGAAGGACTGCTTCACCATGATGTTCCCCAAGCATCCTCCCCATGGCCAGTTTGTTACAGCAGGCACACCCTCTGCCTCCCATCAGGGTCATTGCCGTTGGTGCCTGCCTCTCATTAGTTCTTCAGGGCACAGACTGCATGAACTTAATGGTGCATCCCCTCTCAAGAGAGTACAGTGTAGCACACACTGTCACGCATGTCACACTAAGTAGGTGTATCATCCTTATTGAACTCAGTAGATGACCAGGAAACTTGCCTCTAAGGTTCTAGGATTGATAAGGAATTTCTACAAAAGGACATTTTTCACTTAAAAATAACATTGCTTGATTTAGTGGTACCAGAAAATGTGGGACACAATCTAGATGTCTAATAGGGTTAGCTTATGTGAATTAAGCTAAATGTGTATAATGGGATATTTTGCAACCATTAAACCTGATATAGAAACACATTTATTGATAAAGAAATATGTCCACTCTGTACTGGCAGGTAAAAAAGGAGATTATAAGCTTATAAATATGTTATAAATCCCTTTCATGATGCGACATAGTGATGAGGGGGTTCTGGGGGTGGTGGCCTCCACCCCTTCCTCCCCTCCAGGTGACTTGATGTGTATAGTGTGTCTGGAGAAGACAGCCATGGGTGGGGCTTGGAGCGGGAGGAATGGGAGGTTACAGAGGAGGCTGTATGTCCCTGGGAGATGCCCCATCATGGGGGAAGGGACCTGAGGCTCATTCTCAGAATAGGAGTGGATTAAAGGTTCCAGATATAGAATAGGTCTCTTATGTGTGCCTGATCTAGCTACTAGAGAGTCCCTTCACCCCAGGGATGAGAAGGACTGCATATTTTAATACTGGGGTACCCCACTGAAAGAGCTGACATGGGGAAGGTATTTTTCCTGTGAGGAGGCAGGAACATCCATGTGGCCCAGGGAAGTGGCAGTGTTTGAGAGTCAAAGTGACAAACCAGAATTGCCCTAGGGGAGCTAGGGTGGTCCAACTGAGGCTGATGAGCTCAAAGGTAGGCTGAGCAGGGGGGCCAGCTGCATGGGAGGAGCCACAGGGCAGCCATGAGTTGGCTTTGAGGTGAGCAGTGAAGGAGGCACAGGTAGACTCTTGACCTGTCTTGGCAGCGTGTATGGGAACCCCCTAAAGATGTCCAGGGATTCTGGGGGAAGAAACCTCAAAAAGGGAGCTAGGGGCCTAGAGACAGGAAGATAGAAGCCATCAAGTCAGTGATATAACCACTCATCATACCTCAGGGAAGTGGCCAGCTGGTGAGACCCAGAGGATGTTTGTTTAATAAACTATATATGCACAAAGGAAAGCCTGGAGAAATAGCCATCAGGGTTATTGACAATGGTGGTCCCTGGGTGGGTGGGTATTTTTTATTGTTTTCTTTTTGGTATCTCTGTACTTTTTGATTTTTCTGAAAGAAACATGTGTTGCTTTTATTGCAAATAAAAAATTCCAATAGAAGTTGTTTTTTAAACAATCACATTACAGAACACATTTTGCCTGGGTACATGCTCAGGAGCGCGGCCATTTTAAACTAAGTGGTCGCCAAGGTACAAAATGTTACAGGTGATCCACACACTGACGATTCCCTCCTCTCGCTTCCAGGGTCAGAGAATCCCCTGTGTGTGGTTAAGCCCCCTGTAGTGTGCTTGCATGGGTGGCCACACCATGCATTCAGCCGCTGTTTACTATGCACACTCACTTCCTGCACGGTTCAGCCAGCGTCTGCATCACTAGCTCCTTCCAGAGGAGTCACTGATGCTCTCCTCATCCTGGCTTGGCCCTGCCCAGTTCTTGAACCTTGTCCAACAAGGACAGGGGGGACAGGGGGCCAGTGTAAGCCATGTGGCCACAGTCTTGAGGCCTGAGGAGGCAAATGCTCAAGAAGACACTGTTTTTTATCATCGCACTCGGTACATCATCACCCATCCTTGGTTCTTTGTATTTATCCTTCATTTCTGTTGGAGCTCAAGGCCTCTTCAAGTCCCAGCTTGTTTGGTAAGAGTCCTGACAGCCTGCCATGCTCCTGCAGCCCTGTCCATCCTGGGTCATCTCCTTGCTACCCTCTGTCCATGAGGTAGCCTCATCACCTGGAGGTTGGTGCTACCATGGGTCAGACTCAAGTGTCCCTTGTACCTGGACTCTTATTACTGTGCTTGAACCTCTAGATGGGACCCTGCCCAGCCCAACACCTGCTAGATCCTACTTTGATTTTGCCACACCATAGGCAGGGTGAAGGGGACAGGATACTCCTAGCTTTGGCCCAGAAAGACTGCTCCCTGCTTGCCTCCCTGAGCTCACCCAGTACCTTTTCCCTCTCATTTCCTGGAATTGAGAAACATTGGCCTCCTTTTTGTTTCTTGAACCTGCTAAGCTTGTTTCTACCCCAGGGCCTTTGCATTCACTTGCTGTTCACTTTGCTAGGGTCCCTTTGCCTGGTGTCTTTTTTTCCCCCATTGTTGGGCCTCACTTCAAAGTCACTGTCACAGGGATGCCTTCCCTGACCACTACCAAGGATACCCTTCCAGGCTCTCTCTCAACCAGGGGTAGGCAAACTTTGTCTGCACAAGGCTGAATAGTAAATATTGTAGGCTTTGTGGGACATAAGTCATCTCTGTTGCATATTCTCCTTTGTTTTCTTTATAAACCTTTATAAATGTATAAACTGTTTTCAGCTTGCAGTTCCATGCCAAGACACAGTGTGGATGAGATTAGTCCCTATCTGTGTTTTAGTAACTTCTGCTGTTGGTGATCAATCACCCTGTTTTATTTGCTTGCTCCGCAGTTTCTTGGCATCTGGAGTTATCTTGTGCATTTATAAACTCGATATTGTTGGTCCCTCCCACGAGAGGGTGGGAAATGTGTCTGATTGGCAGCGCTAGTATCTGGTACCGTGCCTGGCACATAGCAGGCCCTCAGTGCATCTTCACTGGGTAAATAAACAAATGAATAAATATGTGAATTAATAGGTTCCAGAGGCCCAGGAATTTGGGTCTGACTCCATGCTTAGGCAAATCATTAAACATTCTAATTCTCAATTTTATCCTTGGGTAAAAGCTCTCTTGCTTCATTGTGGGGGTGATGGGTTGAGAGGACACTGACAAAGCACCTGACCAGGAGGAAGCTCTCCTTAAACATTAGCTCCCTTCTGCTTGACTCCTTCAGCAGGCCTTCCCCTGCAGGAACAGCATCTCCAACCCGTTTCACCCAGGTCCTGGTCTGCATAGTCCCTCATCCCTCACCTCCCCCTTGGTTCATCCTCATCAAGGTCCTGGCACACCTTGTGGCAGAGTCTCTCCAAGTATGACAAATCTCTTGGAGCAGCAAACTGAGGGGCTACAGCAGAGACAGCTGCATGAAGCTGGGATGAAAGCCACTGGGGTGATGGATGGAAACTGAGAAGAGAGCTGTCCCTGTAGATATGCAGATCCTCTCAGATTTAGAGGATAGCCCCCATCCTCCACCTCCCTGGCCAGGTCTGGCTCTGCTCTGTAGTTTCACTGACTCTTAGGAGCAAGATGGGAGGAGACAGCACAGCCAATGCAAAGCTTCATCCTTTCCCCAGCAGGGCTTCTTGTCTTCTGAGCTCCGAGGAACTGGAACAATGTCTCTGAAGTGTGTGTACTGCCCTGCTGTAGCCACTTGGGGGGTCTTGGAGAAATGCCATAGGCCTGGAGTGTCAGAGCTGCAAGAACCCTTGTAAAGCCCTCAGGCAGCCTCTTGGCCTCTGCTCCCCATCTTCTCTGCCATTGTCTCATCCAGCATTGTTTGCTTTCTCCTAGTGGGCCTGGCCACTCTACAGCTGTGGTGGCCCCTCCAGTCAATTCTCTTCCCACTGTCAGAGTCCCCTGTATGTCTGATCAGGCCAGTCTTACTTTTAAGTGCCTACCCTTTGATGGATCCCCATTGTCTCTGGGTGAAGTATAAATCCTTCCAGGTGTGTGAACCTGTGGCCCATGGGCTGCATGCAGCCCAGGATGGTTATGAATACAGCACAACACAAAATCGTAAATTTACTTAAAACTTTTTTTTGCTCATACATTTTCGTTAGTGTTTGTGCATTTAATGTGTGGCCCAAGACAACTCTTCTTCTTCCAGTGTGGCTCAGAGATGCCAAAATGTTGGACACCCTGCGAGTCTGTTCTGTGATGCCATCCATAATCTGGGACCCACGTACTTTTACTACCCACCTGTCACTCACCTCCCTCTTTAGTAGGCAGTTATGCATGAGCAGAGTAGCAACAACAGGCCAGGTGCAGAGGATTACCGGGGTGGAGAGCCCCAGGTGGCTAGCAATGGACAAAATTACAAGCCCTTGCATGACTACTCCCTTAAGCATTAACCCCTAGAAGATGACACCTAGGCCTCAGCTGTGTTTTAGCTTCAGAACCAGAGAAGCAGCAAAATCAGACTCAGTGATGCCATGGCTGACAGCAGGACCAGCAGCATTGACTAAGGACCCCCTGCCCTGGTGCTGACCAATATTAGTGGAGACCATGACCCTGAGAAGACATACATGGAAAAATGATGAATAGTCTATGAGACCCTCCCCGGAGACCTCCAGATAAAAGTCCTCAGGATGGAGGACCCTGCAGGCTCTTTTCATGGAGCACACCTGCACCCTTCTCCAGAGCCCACCTGAAGCTCTCCTCCATCTTTGGTCTCTCAGGGCACGTATACCTCTCTTTCTTCTAAGCTCCAAAGGCCCCTCCTTCGCTATAATTTGTTTCCTGAACCCATTTCTTCTATGGTTCACTTCTTTTACCTCTGTGGCTGTCTAAATAAACTTTCTCTTACAATTTGAGTCTGGGCTCTGAATTCTTCTCTTAGCAAGAACTTAAGAACTGAGGTTGCTGACCGAGGTTAGCACTTGGTGCCATTTAATGTGTCACTAACACCTCCACTGTCCTATCACTCTTCCCTGGGCCCCTCTTTGTTACCACCTTCACCCAGAGGTACATTGGACCCTCCTATAATGTAGTCCTGGCCTTCCCACTCTCCCTACTTCAGGACTGCACAGCATTCTCACCAGGTCCTGAGAGCTGCTTTTTTGAGCGTAGCTCCAATTCACTTTGTAAATAGATAACACTTGTCAGCTGCTTACCATGTGCCAGTTCCTCATACTACCCTAAGTGCTTTAAGGTTAACTTGGAAGCTCACCACCACCTTCTAAGGTAGATGATTATTATACTACTTTATAGATTTAAAAAAAAGTGAGAGGCTATCATGTGAGGTAGCTTGCCTAAAGTCACACTGCTGGTGAATGGTGGAGCTTGGACTTGAACTCAGAGTCTAACCACAGAGGCCATGGCTAATGCTTTGAGGCCATGAAGCTCCTACCCGTGTCAGACCCTGGTCTGTGAAAGCAGTAACAGGAGACGTGAATAGCATTGTCACCAGCTTGGAGCCTGGCCCCAAAGAGGGGCTCAACACCTGCTTACTGACACAACAATCAAAATCAGCCATAATGATATTGTCCACATCACCCAATCCACCCAGGAGTGAAGCAGGTCCCAGAGAAAAACGAGTCATTCCAAGTCATGTGACATGCTCATTGTAGTGCCCAGGTACCTTTTTCCGTGTTTTGGAAAAATGTGTTTCAGGGCTAGAAGTATGCCCTACTTCTGAGCTGGGTAAGTCATTGGCAGTGCTTCAAATTCATGCGTGCTCAGTCCTTTCTCCTCCGTCACTGGCACCATGGGCTGGATGCTGCCTCTGCACAGTCCTCACAAGGGAGACTGACAGTGTCTGCTGAGCAGGGTGGTCTCTGCACCTCTTGGTAAGCTAGCAGGTGTGAGGTATCCAGAGTTGAAAATGATTGTATTTGCTGTAGATTCCATGTGAGTATATTTTATAATGGATTACACCTGGGTCTCCAAGTACAAACCTGATAAACTCTCCCTCCCTCTCAAGAACCTTCTGTGGCTCCCTAGTGCCTCCTAAATTAAGCTCAAACCCTTGATCTTGGCTTTCAGGACCTGTCCCAATCTGGGTAATGTTTATTTTTCCACTGCACACATCCATGTCCTTGACATCACTGTCAACTGGGACTACCTGCTAGAGGAAGTAGTAGGGTAAGGTATAAGGGACACAGACCTTACAGCCCCATACCTCTATCTCATGTTTGTCTTACCTGTTTACCTGTGTGACCTTGGATTCATTACACCAAAACCTAAGTTGTTTCCAGGAAAACATACCACCTCTCTAATCTCCTGTTGGTCCCCACAGATGGTAGAAGGGCACAAAGAGGGTCACAGTCTATTGGAGAAAGGGAGGAGGAAGAAAGAGAACCCTGTACAGGGCTGGGACTTATTAGAGTCTTTGACATGTAGTCCTCTTTACCCCTCTTCCCTTGTACAGCACCATGTTTTGGATTCTGTTAAATAAATTCTATTTAGGTGACTTACCAGGGCCAGTTAAGAGATCCAGAGGCAGCTAACTTGGGTGGAATCAAAGTTCTGTTCATGAGAGTCACAAGCTCCATTTCGGTGGTTCCTAGAGGCCTCCTTGTCAGAGGACACTCTCTCTCCTTCTGGTCAGCTCAGGGTGTTGAGAGCTTTTGGGGGTCCATGGTCAGTCTCACCAGAGCACAGTCTGTAGCCTCTGCCTGTAAGAAGAGTTGGAGGGGAGGGCCACAGGGCTCCCAGCAGGTATGCTGTGGTCTCTTGGCAAATATAATTTTCACAGGACAGATGTTTTCTGCTGGCAGAAAAAGAAATAATAACCGTTCTGGGACCCCCCACTTCCACGGCTGGAGGGTCGCCAGCACTAAATCAACAGCTTTCTTTTCAGTGTGTGCGCACGTTCTTCCAGCCTGGTCAGCGGAGGGCTACCATGGATCCATGCAGAAGACAGGAAGTGTGTGTGTGTGTGTGTGTGAGTATGAGTGTGACTGTGTGTAATTGTGGGATAGAATGGAATGACTAAACCCCGAGTGGCCTCAGCTCCCTCCCCCTAACAAACATCCCCTCCCCCAGGGAGCTTTCCCAGAGTCCCTCAGCTGGAAGTAAATATACTCTTTTGGTACTTAGGACTTTCCACCCAGTGTTCTAGCAAACAAGAACAAGGCTTTGCAAAGTGTGGAACAAATGTAGGCTGGAGGAATGTAGAACTTGAATTTGAATCCTAGCTGATGACCTCGGGCTTCAGGTTCCTTACTTTAGGGAGAAATAACAATACCCACCTGTAAGGGGTGTCCTCAGGATTTAATGAAATACCACGTGTGCCTGGCCAAGAGAAGGTCCTCAATGAAAGTGAGCTTCCCTCCCTCTGAACTGCATCAGGTTTGTGAGTGCAGCACCCAGACCCTTCTCTGGTGACGGCTGGCTGTGCTGGCTTTAGCACTTCTGCACAAAAGGGAATGACAACATATAAAGCCTTGGGGAGAGTGGTGTACACTTAACATACTGTAGGGATCAAGAAAGAGTTGGTGCCAAGATGAAAAACTGGCTTGATAAACTTGTTTGTATATTCATTCATTTTTCACTTATATAGTTAATAAATTACTAGTTCAAGTAACTTGGCTGTGTTGGTCAATACAAAGATCAGAACGATAGGACCAGTAAGGATTCACGGATCACCTGGTTGCTACGTGGAGTGGGTAGTGACTTGTTTAAAGACACTTAGCCATTCGATGGCCAAGCTGCGTTTCGAAAAGAGGCCTCCTGACTTTTAGATCATTGCAAGGCACCACTTGCCTCTCGCAAGTCTGTATTTTTGACCAGGCCTGGCTCTGGATGAGAGAGTCCCAGCCCTTTCTATGGATTTCTGCTTTGGGAGTGACACCTTTTGGGTTCCCTCCCACTCCATGACTGGTGTATGGGTGGAAGGCACCATGTTTACCTTCTTTCCTCAATTTCTGCTGTGATGGAAGAAGAAAGAATTCTTTGGTGTCTGGTAGCCCACACCCACCCGTCTCCCCTGTGAACATGAAAGAGTGCAGGCAGCCGCTTTCACTTCTAATTTGTCTCTGCTGGAATAATCCAGAAGGTGGTTTCAGGGGTTTCCTGGAGACAGAAATGCTACCTGCCCTGTGGCCTGGGCCTGAAGGAAAACTTTCATGAAATACGGCCCAGATATTTGATGTCGCCTGGATAGAATAATGAAACACTTCTTACAGGCAATTTATGAGTCTGAAAAACAGGCAGCTGACTTTCAAAGGCAGACGCCAAAGTGTCAGCAGGCTTCCCTCAAGGTCAAGGCATAGATGAAAACCTGCCGGAGGCTAAATGAGGGGAGGTTTGAGTTTGGGCCTGTGTATGATAGATTTCATTCCAAGCTGTTGGCACCTTTTGCCACACCCTTCTCCTGCCTTATTAAAAAAAGACCACTGAACTTCAAGTTACAGTCCTGGGTATGAATCCTGACTCATACACTCACCTGTCTGTGACCTTGGGAAGTCTCTTGACCTCTCTGAGCATCAGTGTTCCCAGAATTAAAATTAAAATCCTATCCTCACCTTCAGTAACTAATACACAGGTTAAATGTGAGCATGCCTAATATATAACAGGAAGTCAGAACTTTTTTCCTTCATTTTTAGTTTTATTTTTTCAACTAGACACTTTAAGTTAGGGGACCTGGGGCTCAGCACTGGCTCTATCAAAATTTTCTGTGGCTCCTGATCAAGACTTTTTTTTCTTTCTAGGCTTTATTCTTCATATCTAGTAAAAATAAATTACTGGAGGCTTAAATGCTAAGTGCTATGAAAAATGCTTCCTCTTTTCCTCCCCTCCTTACAAATATGTATCCAGCACCTACTATGTGCTAGGCACTGTTCTAGGCACCAGGATATGGCAATGGACTGAATGGACAGAATTTGTTGCCTTTGCTCTTACATTCTATCAGGAAAGTCAGGAAATAACATAAGTAATGTGCATAGTATATGTTAGATGTTGAGTGCTATAAAGGAAAATAAAATGTGGAAGGGGATAGGGCCTGTAGTGTGCAGTTTTAAATAGGGGAGGCCAGGTAAGGCCTCATGAGAGGGTGACATTGAGCACTGGTGTGAAGGAGGTGAGGCAGCAAGCACCTACCTCTGTGGAGGGATGTGGGAACGTACGTGTTGGGTTCAAGGACCAGCCTGGAGCCTGCGTCTGCATGTGGGGAGCAGAGGGGAAAAGAGTGGAACTGGAGTGCAGGTTTGCGATGATGTGGCACCTGATTGGCCAATTTGAGAACTTCTGCTTTTTCTCTAAGATGGAAAGCCAGTGATGTAGGTATTTTTTTTTATTTGTTTTCACTTTTACCAGATTTTTATTTCACAAAAATGTTCTACCTTTACCTTTCTCAAGAAGTATTCTTCGACCTCCACCTTAGTCAGAGAGTTTTGAGCTCTGACTATAAACCCTTAACCTTGACTCTGCCCCTTACCCCAGTGTACTCTCTCCTCCTCTCACCCCTCCATGTTTATCTTTCCAGTTGAGGGCTTTGAGCTGAGAAGTGATGAGGTTGCTTCTGGCCTTTTAAAAGAATCACTTCATTATGTCATTCCTAGTTCCCAACCATGCTATGATGTGGGTAGTGTAATCCTGATTAAGTAGATTTTTATTTTTACATAAGAAAAATGTAAGAAAAGTAAAAATAAAGCTGGCAATTTCTCCCAGGCCAGAAGGGCCCCATAGCCACAGTGGTGCTCATTCATTGGAACAACTCTGTGCTTGGGGCTACATGCCACATTGTTCATCATTGTCAGTGACAATCCTTCAGAGACATGGCACATGTCTCCAGATTTCTCAACTGAGCCCTTTTCTTTACACCCCAGCGTAAAACTTCCTTCCTCTAAGAAAGCCTTTTCCTGATCTCTCTAGTAGCCCAAACTCCTACATTCTTTAATCTGAATATCCACGATGTAATTTGCTACTAGTAAGTAGAAAGCACTGTTAAATTAGTGGAAAGTATCCTGGGCATGGAAATAAGAGATTTAGGTTTTTATGATTTCTATCACCGTCATTATCATGATTATCATCACCATCAATATTATTGTGATGATTTTAAAAATTATTAAACCCAGATATTATTTAGCATCTTTACATCTTATGATATCAGATCAAACCATTATTTTATGGCTTGTGAATATCTAATATCTTTTTTAAGGTTCTAACAATTTTTAAGAGGCCCAAGGTTTTCATAGTCCTCTGCGCTTTAGGTTTCCATGTTAGCAGATGTGCTCTCAAATTCTGCACTGCCTAGACCTAGGCATGAAACTCAAGCTCTTTCTTGATGTCTTTAAAAGAAACTCACTTGTATAAAGCTTTCATAAATGTGGATTTTACTTGGTTGTCACTCAACAGGATCACACAGCACAAACAGCAAAGAACTTTATATCACTATAACCACACCACCTTTTTATGTTTGTTCTTTGTATAATATATTAGTCTGCTTGGGCTACCCTAACAAAATACCACAGACAAGGGGTTTTGAACAACGGAAATATATTTTCTCCCCATTCTGGAGGCTGGAAGTTCAAGGTCAAGGTGCTGTTAAAGCTGGTTTTCTAATGAGGCCTCTCTTCCTTGGCTTGTAGACAGTTGTCTTCTTGCTGTGTCCTCACACGACCTTTTCTCCATGTAGGTGTAGAGAAAGAGAGAGAGTCCTGGTGTCTCCTCCTCATTTTATAGGGACACTGGTCCTACTGGATTAGGTCCCACCCTGATGACCTCATTTAATTTAGCCTTAATTACCTGTCTAAAGGCACTACCTGTAAATTTAGTCACTTTGAGCATTAGGGCTTCAACATATTTATTTGTGGGGGGAACACAAATTAATTCATAACATATAACATGTCTTTTTCCATCCATATACTTTCAACATATTTGTGTTTTGAAATTTAAAGTGAATTTCTTGTAGATAAAATGTACTTGAATTTTTTAAAAAATCTAGCTGGTCATTCTGTTTTTAAAGTTGGGGAATTTCAGTCCTGTTACATTTAATGAGATTATCAATGTATTTGGGCTTAAGTCTAACATCTTGCTGTTTGTTTTCATTTACTCTTTTTTTCTTCTGCTGTTGTTTCTCTAACGATTTTTTTATCTCCTAATTATATATATTTGGAATTATACTTTATTTCCTCTATTTTAGCTTCTCATCAGTACTTTCAATACTTTTTATTACTTTTTAGTGGTTTCTCTAGAACTAACAGCATGTATATATATATCTTTAAATTATCGAAATAAATCTATTTATACTCAGCGTTATACTTCTCACTGCACAACTGATTCTTCACACTTTTTTCTTTTCTCACTTCACATGTGAAACTTATTTCCCACTTCACAAATAGAATAACAATATAATTCCATTTACCCACATCTTGTATTTTGTGCCTTGTTGCCATATCTTTTTTCTAAATATGATGTTTTTATTTTTTCTTTACTAGTCAGTAGCTTTTAAGGAAATTATGAGAAAAAATTACCTCTTATGTTTAACTTATTTTTAAAAAACTTTTTTCTTGGTGCTGATTTTTCCTGTCTATAGGTCTGAGTTTTCTATCTGCTACCAATGCCTCCCAGCTTGAAGAATATACTCCAGCACTTCCCACAGTGCAGGTCCACGGCACCAGATTTTCCCGGCTTGCATTTATCAACAGTGTCTTTATTTCATCTTAGTTTTTGAAGACTACTGATGATGAATATAGAATGCTGAGTTGGTAAAATTTTTAAATTTTATTTCAGGACTTTAAAATGTTCTTGCCTCCACTCTTTCTGGTAAGTCATCAATAATTGATATAATTGTTTCCCTATATATAGAATATCTTTGTTTTCTGATTGCTTTTGAGATTTTTAAAAATTTCCTTTGGTTTTTATGTTTGACTCCAACATATTAGGTGTAGTTTTCTGTGTGTTTACCCTATTTATGCCTTTAACAAATATGGAAAAGTTTCAGCCACTTTTTTCAAATATTTT